TACTTACCTACCTACTTACTTACTTACTGACTTACTTACTTACCTACCTACTTACTTACTTACTTACTGACTTACTTACTTACCTACCTACTTACTTACTGACTGACTGACTGAATGACTGACTGACTGACTCACTTACTTACTCACTGACTTACTGACTAACTTACTTACTGACGTACTTATTTACTGACTTACTTACTTACTGACTGACGTACTTACTTACCTACCGACTTACTTACTGACTGACTGACTTACTGACGTACTTACTGACTGACTAACTTACTTACTGACATAATTACTTACTGACTTACTTACTTACTGATGTACTTACTGACTGACTGACTTACTTACTGATGTGCTTATTTACTGACTGACTTACTTAGTGACATACTTACTTACTGACTGACTTCCTTACTGACGTACTTACTTAGTGATGTACTGACTGACTGACTTACTGACGTACTTACTGACTGACTGACTTACTTACTGACATACTTACTTACTGACTTACTTACTTACTGATGTACTTACTGACTGACTGACTTACATACTGACATACTTACTTACTGACTGACTTCCTTACTGACATACTTACTGACTGACTTACTGACACACTTACTCACTGACTGACTTACTTACTGACTTACTTACTTACTGATGTACTGACTGACTGACTTACTGACATACTTACTGACATACTTACTGACTTACTTACTGACATACTTACTTACTGACTGACTTACTTACTAACATACTTACTTACTGACTGACTTACTTACTGACGTACTTACTTACTGACGTACTTACTTACTGACTTACTGACTGACTGACTGACTTACTTACTTAATGACTGACTTACTTACTTACTTACTTACTTACTACTTTTACATACTTACTTACTTACTTACTTAATTACTTACTTACTGACTGACTAACCTACTTACTGACGTACTTACTTAATGACTGACTGACTTACCTACCGAAGTACTTACTTACTTACTTACTTACTGACTGACTGACTTACTTACTTACTGACATACTTACTGACTGACTGACTTACTTACTGACATACTTACTGACTGACATACTGACTGACTGACTGACTTACTTACTTATGTACTTACTTACTGATGTACTTACTTAGTGACTGACTGACTGACTGACTGACTGACTGACTTACTGACGTACTTACTTACTGATGTACGTACTTACTTACATGCTTACTGACATGCTTACTGACTGACTGACTTATTGGCATACTTACTGACTGACGTACTGACTGAATGACTGACTGACTTACTTACTGACGTACTTACTTGCTGACTGACTGACTTACTTACTTACTGACTGACGTACTGACTTACGTACTGACGTACTTACTTACTGACTGACTTACTTACTGACTGACTTACTGACTGACTTACTTACTGACGTACTTACTTAGTGACTGACTGACTGACTTACTTACTGACGTACTTACTTACTGATGTACTTACTTACTGATTTACTTACTTACTGACGTACTTACTTAGTGACTGACTGACTGACTT